GCTTCCCACTCTGATGAGCATGGACTAAATTTATGAACTGTAAGCCAGTCCCCAATTAATGTTCCCTTTATAAGATTTGTCATGTCATAGTGTCTCTTCACTGAATAGAAACCCTAAGACACTATTTATTAAAAGATTAAAGTAGTGGTGGTGCATGCCTTTAATCAGTGCTTGGGAGGCAGAAACAGGTGGGCCTCTGTGAGTTCAAGACCAGCCTGGTCTACAGAGCAAGTTCCAAGACAGCTTCCAAAAGCTACAGAGAAACCCTGTCTTAAAGCACTCAGGAGGCAGAGGTAGGCAGATCTCTGTGAGTTCGAGTCTAGCCTGGTCTACAGAGTGAGTTCCAGGACAGGCTCCAAAGCTACACAGAGAAACCCTGTCTCAGAAAAAAAAAAAAAAGATTAAAGCAAATCTGTACACTAATGATATTGATGTGCTTGATATTGATATTACAGTATGTAGAACATCTTCAATGTTTTTCAATGGACTTTCCTGGCTTATCACAACATCAAGCCTTAGCTATTGTCCGTGACCCCATCATGCCTTCAAACCAGTACCACCAAGTGACTCTTACACATTACCATGTCCAGCTGCCTGAACAAGGTACAACTTTGACCACCTCTAGAACACAGCTTTTTTGTGCTCTCAGGAAACACTTCCCTGAAGATTTTACCTTAGTGATGCTGGTGTCTTCTTAATCACCACTAATTTCTTAGCTCCAGCTGATTAGCATCAAGTATTCCAGCAAAGCAGTTTTGCTTTAGTAATTCTGGTATCTTGTCAAACACAGCTGATTCTTCAGCCCCAACTAACCAGACTCACAGATTCTTAATTCAGAATAACAGATGACCCCAATACAGATTTGAAACTTCCCTCTAAAACTTCACAAGCCAAGCCTCCATCCTCTGTACCTCTATACTGTTCTCAACATTCTTATCTTCCAAACTCCTAAAGAACATCCCACTGAGCCTTTAACACTCAATAACTCTTCTAATCCAAAGTTCCATATTCCCACAAGCCTCACCAAAAATAATGGTCAGGTCTGTCACAACAATACCCCACTACACTAGTACCAACTTGTCTTAGGGTTTCTATTGCTGTGACACAGCACCATAACCAAAAAGCAAGTTAAGGAGGAGAGGGTTTATTTGGCTTACACTTCCATATTGCTGTTCATCACTGAAGGAAATCAGGACAGGCACTCAAACAGGGCAGGATCCTAGAGGGAGGAGCTGATGCAGAGGCCATTGATGAGTGCTGTTTACTGAATTCCTTCCCCTGGCTTGCTCAGCCTGTGTTCTCATAGAATGCAGAACCACCAGCCCAGGGGTAGCACCACCTAATATGGCCTGGCCCTCCCCCATTGATCACTAATTGAGAAATGCCTTAGAGCTGGATCTTATGGAGACATTTTCTCACTAAAACTCCTTCTTCTCTGATGACTCTAGCTTGTGTCAAGTTGATACAAAACCATCCAGTACAGATATTAGAGAGGCTTTTAAGTGTATCAGCTGAATTATACCATGTTGTTTTGAATGAACAGTATTTCTTCAATGATACAGTTATCAAGAAATATAAAGGCACTGGGATACAAGAACCGAATTTAAAGCTACCAAAGATCCTTTACACTGAAATTTAATGTTGGCAGTACAGGTCCAATAGCCCTGCAGGAAGGACAGTAAACAAAATCAAACACCTGAGCTGAACTAACCTTTCCAGACAGAACCCGGCCACACCTCTGCAGCCATTTTTAGTTCTTGCATCACTGCCTATCCCAGTTGATAAACAGCTAGTTAAACAACAAAAACTACCCATGGCGAAGTGACTTTAAAGACACTAATTGGTTCAGTCAGTTACAAAGCCACAGCTGTTCTTAGTTCCTGCTGGAGTGAAACCTGAATAAGAGGAAGTAGGTTGGGTGGTGGAGAACGGTAGAAAGTTCATCAATCTTAAATGTATCAAATCTTGACACTGTAGTATATTGGAGTCTCACATATCTCAGGGATTGGGGACAGCTGTTTGCTGAACTGTTTTTTACTAAGCTTTTACTCTCACTCTACAAAGGAAGTAATTGAGTTTAAGAATGGGCGAGCCTTAAACCAGGCAGGTTTCTTCTCTTTTGGGCCACTGATCACATGATGGTTTCTCAATGGGCTTTCTCAATACTCTGGTTGTCTATATTGTATCCATTGTCTTCTAAAAAATTAATCTGGCCATGTCCATGCCTCTGCATATATTTTGTATCTAGAAAAAAATGCCAGGCTGGTAATACAACTCACAGCGAATTGCTTCATCTAGCCTCTGCAGGCCCTTCAATTTGTCTTGTGCTGGGCCTCTGCTTCTTGACTGGCACAATCCAAACACATTCGTTTTTCAAGTCCTAGAATCTGGCCTTTAACCACATAACACTTTGGTACTCTTCTTGGTTCCACAACGATCATCCTCCACTTCCTCCCTGAGCATTTTCGCACAGCTAGCCCTTCCCACTTCCCCTCAACCAATATTCTGTCAGTTTTCTGCTTATTTGTTTTCCACTGCTTTATCAGATTGCAAATTATTTTCTTCGCTTGCTCTTTGCCTGCCAACTAAAATGTCAAAGTCCATGAAGGCAGGGATATTTTCTGCCTTGTCTACAAGTATGCTTCCAACACTGTGAAAAGTGCTGAGCACATGAGAAGTGATCAAATACTTGAATAAACAGGATACTTGGGCATGCTGCCATGATCAGCTAGGATTAAATGCAATGGAATAAAGTGGTGAGGATATAGTTCAGTAGTAAATGTTTACCTAGCATTCACTGGGCCCTGCATTCAATCCCTAGAACTAAAAAAAGGAAAGAAAAAGAGAAGGAATGGTGGTACGCACCTCTAATCCCAGCTCACAGGAGGCAAAGGACAGGGGATCTCTATGAATCTGAGGCCATCCTAGGCTCTATATAGTGAAACCGTCTCAAAAACAAAAACAAACTGGTCGGTGGTGGTGCCTGCCTTTAATCCTAGCACACAGGAGGTCAGGAGGCAGAGACAGGTGGATCTCTGTGTGCTCAGGGCCAGCCTAGTCTACAAAGCTAGTTCCAGGACAGCCAGGGCTACACAGAGCAACCCTGTCTGAGGGGGGGAGGGGGAGGGAGGAAGAGAGAGGAGGGGAGGGGAGAGGAGGAGAGGAGGAGAAAGATTTAGTATCAGCTCTTCTGGGTGTTTTGAAAAGGAGGTGTTTTGTTTTCTAAAAAGGATTACTAAAACCTCACACTGAGGATGTAGATCAGTGATCCAGTACTTGTGTGCTCAAGCAAGGAAAAGACCCTGTGTTCAGTCTTTAATGTGTCTTTGTCTTCTGTGGGTCTCCACTACTTTTAAGATAAAGTCCAAATGCCTTATCATTTCCTAACACAACTTGAAGCACCTGCTGTTGAATTATCTATTGAACCAAATCTCTCTCCACAGCCCTCCTCCACCCCATCTTATTTTATGACTCAGCTGCTATTTTAGGGTCCAGTCAGAAAGTATTTTAAATATAGGCAGTGTGATAAATGGAAGTGTTAAAAAGACTTAGAAGCGTAAAAAGGTCTGTTTCCCCAGAGATTTATAACTGCGTGGACCTAAGCTGGAGAAGTGTGAAAATGATGCTACCTAACCTCAGCAAAGGATGCTGTGGCCACCAGCACAGCATGTATCCACCATTGTTCCCACCACTGCTAGTGAGGCTGATGTAGTGACCCTGCCATGGCTGCTGGTGGACCCAGAAGGATTCAGTCACTGGCTGCTGTTGCTGCCAGTAATGGAGATGCTAGCGATGTGGAAGAACATGGCACACACATACACACAAAACACCCATCACCATCCTCCTCCACTGCTTTCCACTGGCAAAACCTGGCCAATAGCCAGTTGGCAAAGAAATCCGGGAAATGTAACTTGCTGGCTTTTTGTCCACTGCAATGCAGAGGAAAGCAGAACTAGAGTTAAGAGCCAACAGACAGACTGGCACTGCTACACCAAACATTTTTGCATCCCAGACACTTGCCATGCTGTTTCCCTTATGGACATTTGGTCCTCTGTTGAATGTGCACTCACACACTCATCTTCTACGTGGCTGTGCTTTCCTCTTGCTTGCCTGAGTTCTCAGTGTAGATGTCATGTCTGTAGGGCTCTTTCCTTACCTCTCCCAGCTCAGTGAAATTCCACTGTTCTGGAGTCTTAAAATACTCCGTATCATCCTTCTCTTAGCACTCATCACCCTAACTTGGTTTGGCATATTATCTTGCTTTGTTTTTTTAGATAGGGTTTCTCATACATTCCAAGTTTGCCTCAAACTTTTCTCTGTAGCTGAGTCTGGCCTTGAACTCTTGATCCTCCTCTCTCTGCCTTCCAGGTGTGCCATGACTGGTACACCCTGGCTCTAACTGGGTGTTTTCTACTCTGTATTCCTGGTGGTTAGAAAGAAAATGGCCCCAAAGGGAGTGGCACTTTAGGAGGTATGGCTTTGTTGGAGGAAGTCTGTCACAGTGAGGGTGAGCTTTGAGGTCTCTTCTGCTCAAGCTTCCCTCAGTGTGACAGTCAGTTGACTTCCTGTTGACTGTAAGATATAGCACTCTCACTTCAGCACATCTGCCTGTACACTGACATGTTTGTTCCCCTTCATGATCAAAATGTACTGAATCTCTCTGAAACTGTAAGCAAGCCACCCTCAATTAAATGTTTTCTTTAGAAGAGTTGCCATGGTCATGGTGTCTCTTCACAGCAATAGTAACCCTAATTAACTAAGGCAGTATTGTTTCTAGGTTGTGTACCTTTCAGGGGTAGAATGCTGCATTGTTCATTATTGAAAGGAAAAACAAACATGCAGAAAGACTTGAAGCTAGGACATAGAAAACTTGCTGGGGCAGCAGCTCAATAGTACAGTGTTCTCCTCATGTGCTTGAGGCTCTATGTTGAATCCCTTGATAGAAGAAAAGGAGGCAGAATCAGAAAACTGTCTCTTAAGTTTAGCTCCTCTCCACACAGCTTCTCTGTGGTTGACTACTCCTCCTGCACGTGTGATGAGAGCCAGGAGTTTCCATCAACTGGATCTGCATTATCTAAACCTAGTGATGCATTAGGTAAGATCATTCTTTGCTGTGGAGCTATGCTGGGCATCATAGGATGCTTAACAATATCCTTGACTTATAGCCACTGGTTATCTGTACCAGCCACCCCCATGACTCTATTGACTTAACAAAATTTCTACAGATCCTTGGCATGGTGGCACATGCCTTTAATCCCAGCACTCTGGAGACAGAGACAGGTTCTTCTTGTTTGTAGAAAAGGAAACCCATGGCTAAGAAAGTTTAAATAACTTTTGCCATTAATTATCTTCTCTTAGCAAATTATATTTAAATTGCTCATTTGGTGGAATCATATCAAATTGTATGGTTTGGGGAAGCCTAACTTTATGCTATTTTTTTTAACTTTAAAGTGTTCTCCAAAAAGTTAAAATTCTTATTAGTATGAATGTTTATTTATTTATTTTTCTGTTTGTTTATTTGTTGAGATAATGTCTCTCTGTGTAGTCCTGGAACTTGATATGTAGATCAGGCTGACCTCAAACTCACAGAGGTCTTCCTGCCTCTCCCTCCCCAGTGCTGACATAAAAAGCACGTGCCACTGTCACTGCTCTAGAGGAAGTGGGACATGGGAGAATGGAGCCTAGACGTGAGGTGAACTAAAGTCTCATGCAAGAGCCAACTTTATTCAGAGCATCAGACAATTTACACTCTGAGGGTTGAGAGGAATCATAAGAGTAAAGTATTTAATTACAAGGGCAAGCTGAACATGACAGACAAGCTGATCACAGCAGAATCATGTTTTTCCACAGAGGCATTTTAACAAATAATAATAGCCAGTCATAAAGAAGAAGAAAGAAGGAAGGAGGGAAGGAAGGAAGGAAGGAAGGAAGGGAGGAAAGAAAGAAAGAAAGAAAGAAAGAGAGAGAGAGAGAGAGAGAGAGAGAGAGAGAGAAAGANAAAGAAAGAAAGAAAGAAAGAGAGAGAGAGAGAGAGAGAGAGAGAGAGAGAGAAAGAAAGAAAGAAAGAAAGAAAGAAAGAAAGAAAGAAAGAAAGAAAGAAAGAAAGAAAGAAAGAAAATTTTCTATGGAGCTGGGCATGGTGGCATCATGTTGGAACACGGTCCAAGAATGGAGCTGTGCTGTGCAAGGAGACTTCTGAGTGCTGGTGAGAAAACTCCAAGAAACCAAGGTAAGAGTCTTACAACCTTAGTCTCTTCAAAAACAGGAAATTGTTCTGAGATTATGCTCTTGTGCCCCTCCAGGTGTAACAGATAGGAGTGAGTTCACTTCAGATTATTTTTTATGACTGGCTCACAGAGATCTGCCTGCCTCTGCCTCCTGAGTGCTGGAATTAAAGGCATGCACCACCACCACCTGGCTCATAGAAATGTTCTTACATGTTCTAAAAAGAATGATTAAAACATAGTAAGGGAAAAGAAGGATTTAAGATATTTTTTTGTTGTTGTTGTCATGGTTTCTCTGACAGATCTGATGTAGTTCAGTCTGGCCCTGAACTTGAACCTCTGACTTGTTTGTCTCTACCTCCCCAGAACTAGTTATAGATGTGTACCACCATGTCCCTTTGTGTAGTACTAGGGTTTGAACCCAGGGCCTCTTGCATGTCAGACAAGCACTCTACCAACTGAGCTATAGCCCAGTCCCTGGACTTGAGATGCATCTAGGGTATGAAAATGAAGAATATTTTAGGCTTTTGTTAAGTCCTTGTATTTATTTTAAGGGATGCTAGAGACTGAATTTCTAACCCTCCCCCTGACACAGTACAGAGACTAACTGTAGATAGACATGAATTACAGGAGAGATTTGGGCAGTTCAAACCAGGGCAGTTGTTGTGTGATATACTGAAAGTCAACTGGACTCACAAAACACAATGAAAGGAGGGTGGCTCTATAGGTTTGAGGTTGAGTGAGCGTAAAATCCATAATTAGTCAAAAATGTCTGACATTTATTGACCTAAACAGTTTGATGACTGACAAGGAGAGCTCTCTAAGGGAGTCATTCAGTCTTTTAGGGGAGGATTAGGAGGACACAGCAGATCCTGTTAAGGCCAGTGAAGAGACAGAGTAAGCTAGCTTTGCTTTGAAGGCTGTAACTTCAGGCAGGAGAATTCTTCAATTTTCTGTCTAATCACTTCAAAGAAAGTATTGACACTGAAAAGCTACCCTTTATCTATGCAAGGGCAGCGAGGCTGATAGGTGTGGCCTGACTCACTCTTTTCTTGATTGTCTTATTGGCTGGCACAGTAAGAAAGCAGCCAAGACAGAAGTTAAATATGCGCATTAAAGTTTCAGCTTTATGCTGGGTGTGGTGGTACATACCTACAATTCTAGTATTGGCAGGAGAATTACCGTGAATGTTTGACCAACCTGGGCTACTTAGGGTATGGAGACTTTATCTTCAAAACAACAAAACCTGAACAAGAATATACTTCAATGCAATAGCTTTTGTTTGGTTAGTTTTGGTGCTGGGACTCAAACCCAGGGGCTCAAGTATGCTGTACAAGAGCTACTTGGCTACACATTGAACCCCACAATTCTCTCATTTTAGGCCAATCTTCACTTCTCACATAAGTGTTAAAGCAGCAGTAACTGGAAAGAGAAATGGCCAATGGGCCGAAAGGTCAATATTTGTCTTGGTTGATTTTATATATATTAAACTAAAATAGATGGAAATTGCATATGCTTTGTTTCTCTTTTTAGAAAAAATTTTGTATATATCCATTGCACGTGACACTATTTTTTTAAAGGTGTTGTTGTTGTTTGTTTGTTTTATCAGGGTTTCTCTATGTAGCCCTGAATGTCCCAGAACTTTTTTATGTAGACCAGGCTGGTTCAGATTCACAGAGAGCCACCTGCCTCTGCCTCTGAAGTGCTGAGTCTAAAGGCTTGTGCCTCCATACCCAGCTTGATATGGTAGGTACAGGGACATTTCATACATACCTCTATACTCTTCCTCTTTCTCATCTGCCCCTTCCATTCGCCCCTTTTGTTTTCCTAGAAAAATTTCCTTTTCCTTTTAAAAATAGATTTCATTTAAATTTTATTATAAAAACACATTGCAAAATTTAAAAGTCACATTACTTGTACATTCATATATACATACATGATTTTATGTGTCTACATAAAATCTAGGATCCACATGGAGAAAACACGCGCTATTCCTCATTTTGAGATAACTTAGTTCATACATGAGATTATCTGTATTTGTAGCCCTTTTCCTGCATATTGCCCTGGCTTATTAAAGTAGCCCCACTTACTCTCTTCACTTTTTTGCCACACTTCCTGTTCTTGTCTTCCCTTTTGTTTTTTGTTTTCTTTTTCACTCTGTCCTCCCTCTTCCTCTTAGGTCTTCTTCCCATGGGCCCCGCCAATTGTGCTTGTATCTTTAGTGCTTCCTAAGCCACTGGCATGAGAAGGCATTTGTTTGGAAGATGAATAGCTAACCTTCCACGTGCTTGGTGTGTCCTGAGCTGCCTGACCCTCCAGCTGATACAACTCAATGTTCCCACCCAGTTCAAGTGGTGGGTTTCTCATGGCTCTAATTCCAATTGTTTTGCACACTTTGGTGCTAACAGATCTGACCAGTGTGTGAGTAAAAGAGGCCAGGGATGTTCTTTGAGAGGCTTCTCCCTGTATAGAAGTCAGGCATTCATTCAACACAGTATCTGAGTGCTACCTGGGAACACTGCAGGGAAGATCAGAAGCTTGCCTGACCAGTTCGATTTGCATATTTGGGTCACTTAGCATTTGTTGTTCTGTAGGAAGTAGGATCCCACAATGTAGGAGGACTTTCTCACCCTGCCTGTGATGCCCGAAACTGCCCTGAGTGAACTGAAGCTTAGCCTTAGCCTGCTTGACAGGAGAGGTCTCCTCTGACTTACACCCCAGCACTCCCACAGTGTTTAACAGTTTACATTATGAATTTAGATTACAACATCAATAGTATTTGTTTTTATTACGTGTGTGTGTGTGTGTGTCTTGCACATGCAGGCATGAGAAGGCTAGAGGTCAACCTTAGGTATCATCCACAGATATCTCATCTACCTACTTTCACACATGATTCACTTATTAGCCCGAAGCCTGCTGATTTGATTCTTTTGGCAAGCCAGGTAGGGGGTCCCTAGGGATCCTCACGTCTCTGCCTCCCCTTTGCTGGGATTACAAACTTAAGCCATGACCAGGCTGGCCTCAAACTCACAGAGATCTGCCTGTGTCTGCCTCTCAAGTGCTGGGATTAAAGACGTGCACCACCACCACCACCCAGTAACCCTGGGCATTTTTACAGGGTTCTGGGGATAGAGTTCAGGTCTTCATACTTCAAGGCAAGCACTTTATTGACTGAATTATTTCTCCAGTCCCTTTTTGCTTTACTTTTGATTTTAAAATTAGACGTGGTATTTTGCAAGTCAAACAACACTTAAGACAATGTGTTGGTTAATTTTTTTGTTGCCCTGAAAAAGCATCTAACAGATGTGAGAGGAAGGGTTTGTTCTGACTCATAGTTCAGGGATACAGTACATCAGGTAGGAAGGCATAGGTCAAGGGCAGTTCATGGTGGTGTCAGAGCAAATATGAGGGGATTAGTGAGACCATCTGAGCAGTCAGGAAGAACTCAGGCCATAACTATATAGCACTTGGCCTTACATCTGCTAGCTAGTCCTCAGATCCCAAAGGTTCCACAACCTCCCCAAACAACACAACCTCCTGGAGATCAAGTGCTGAAACAGACAAGTCTGAGATGGGGTGTCATTTTATGTTCAGCTTACAGCAGACACAAAGAGAGAAGCAGGATGTGTTTATTTCATAGAATGAGGCCTCTAGGCCCTCTCCTTGCTATTAATTTTATAGCATCTTGTACCATTTGAGAAATATACTATATATACACTAGCAAAGTTTATGTGTGTATATGTATGTGTATATATATATATATGTGTGTGTATGTTATATATGCACACATAGGTTAACACAATGGGCAGAATAACATTATTCCTTTTTCACTTCATATATTTGATAGATCATTTCATTTATCCACATGCAGATCTCACTCTTCCTATATTTTTGGTTGTAAACTTTACCTTTAAGATCTCACTCAGCCATTAAAGAATAGGTAGGCTCACAAAGCTATAAGAGCTTACTTATCAACAGTTGTGTAGCAACCATGACTGTAGTACATATTAAAAACATTTGGGGTTATAGTGTATATATAAAAATTCTAGGTGAGCCGCAGCCTTGCCGAGCGAGCGGTTGGGTGTTCGCCATCTTAGGAGGATGTTCTCGTCTGTGGCGCACCTGGCCCGGGCAAACCCCTTCAACGCACCGCACCTGCAGCTGGTGCACGATGGCCCCTCGGGTCCCCGCAGCCCCCAGGGCCCGACCCGGCGTTCCCGCCACCTGGCTGCCGCCGCCGTGGAAGAGTACAGTTGTGAATTTGGCTCCATGAAGTATTATGCACTGTGTGGCTTTGGTGGGGTCTTAAGTTGTGGGCTGACACACACTGCTGTTGTTCCCCTGGATTTAGTAAAATGCCGCATGCAGGTGGACCCTCAGAAGTACAAGGGCATATTTAATGGCTTCTCCGTCACCCTGAAAGAAGATGGTGTTCGTGGTTTGGCGAAAGGATGGGCCCCGACTTTTATCGGCTATTCCATGCAAGGGCTCTGCAAGTTCGGGTTTTATGAAGTCTTCAAAGCAACATGCTTGGTGAGGAAAACACCTATCTGTGGCGCACATCACTATATTTAGCTGCTTCTGCCAGCGCTGAATTCTTTGCTGACATTGCCCTGGCTCCTATGGAAGATGCTAAAGTTCGGATCCAAACCCAGCCTGGCTATGCCAACACATTGAGAGAGGCTGTTCCCAAAATGTATAAAGAAGAAGGCTTAAATGCGTTCTA